TCAATTTAACTAGCATATACTTAAGAGTATATATATACACACATTTATATAAAATATAATAGGGTTAGCCTATCAGAGCTGATAAAAAGGATTTTCTAAGACTCATGGTATCTGCCCTATGAATGACATGACTTATTGCTTCCTATATATAGAACTGTGTAGATAAAAACTACTACATTGAACTGACAGAATATTTAGTTACCTAATATAACTAATAGACAACATTTTAAATGTGTTATGATGAAAAAAGTATATGTGAATGTAAATATTATCATTATGGTACTTTATGATTGTGCTATATTTTCATAATTTTTACTTATACATTTTCACTAAAAATAGATTGAAATTGATGAAAGAGTAGGGGAAAGAGGCTCTAAATGATGTTTGTACCATGTTTTTATCACATTAGTGATGTTTATTCATTTTTATGATACTTAGCAACATTTAGTAAAGATCCTTGTTTCAAATTGAGTTCACTGCACAGTGCTCAGTGCAGAGGCAACTGGAATCCAAATCTATGTAAGTAACTGGTTAAGGCTAAATAAACAGGTGTTTCTATCAATGATTAAAAAATAATTTAAATTATTTTAATGAGACTGTTTTCCTTTACTCTTAATTTTTAGGTAGTAACTAAATCACATTTGTTTCACTGAGAGAAGAACCCAAATAAGTCAGCCATATCTTCTAGTAGCCAGTGGACCTCAAATCAGCATCTTTGGCCTCATCTGTGGATTTGATAGAAATGTATATATGAGTCCTATTCTATTTACAAAATCTCTGGAGGTGAAACTCAGGAAACTTTGCTTTAATAAACTCTCCACTTAATTCTTATTCATGTAAAAGTTTGAGAACCACAGTCCTAGGCCTAGAAAACATAAAGGAGTTGTACACCATATATTGAAGGGAGTATATTGGTTTTTGGTACTGAAGATTCAAACTTCAGTCTCATGCATGTTAGGCAACCATTCTACCACCCAGCTATGCCCCCAGTCCAAATTAGGTTAAGAGAACAAGTGTGTTATGTCCATGGAGGCAAGGTCATAAATGGTTAATAGCAGTTATGATAAGAGACTCAGAAAGTGTCTTGTAAATGTATTGGAAACATAAAATAGAGACTGAAAATTTTAATTCTTGGTTAATTTTCAGTTATTACAATTTAGTAGCATAAATTTGAAAAGAAAATGGCATAATGATCAGTCAAAAACTGTTGTATTAATAGGGTGATACAAAAATTATGAGAATGTTATGCTTCTTGTTTTTGAGAGTATTTGATAAAATAACAAGCATTATGTTTGATTTTTCAATATGTTCAATATTGAAAATATGTGCTATGGAATAGTTTTTTGGGGGGCAGAAGCTAAGAGCAGTTATTGTGTAAGATGAGGAAACACTCTGCTCGTGTATTAAACAAGGCAAAGCTGACTATAAGAATATAGAGAGCAAAAATAGAAACTGCATTACTTTAAAAAATACTCCCACAGCAGGCTTAGCAAATTTTACGTCATTGCTGATTAATCAAAAATCATTCCTTGGCTACTTCCTCAACTTTGAAAGTATTCATAATGTGAAATCAAGATTTGTGTTCTTATACATGACATAACCTCATACCACTCACTAAATTTGTGTTTTAATTCTTTACTGTTACCACCAAAAAACAGTCTCTTAAAAATCAAGATTATATTTGTGATCTTTTGTAGGTACCTTTAAAAGAGCTATTGAACTTGTCCCATTTCTGAGTTAGAGTATAAAATGCCAGTACGCCACTTTTCAGATGCAATGTCAACTAAATTCCTAGTTGTCAGATTCCATGTCTCTAAAATGTGGTAGACAAAGACAGAATCAGAGAATCTGTTATATAAACAATATGTTTGGGTTTTGATTTTTATTTTAAAGCATAACACTGCAAAGTAGTAAATTCCATAAAACTTTGGTTAAGAGCAAAAACACTAGTGAAGATAGCAAATGGAGAAGAGGTTAAACCGTATTTCCTTTCCTTGTAAATATTTGAAAGCAGTTAATTTTATAAGTTCGGAATAGTTGCCCTATATCCACAATAAAAACATGTCAGTATTTTATGTGAATTCCTTAGTGTTAAATATACAGGCTGTGCTCATGGTCTGGGGGGCCAAGAATTCCAAACACTGAGGATGCTAGTTATTTTACCTTTAGCTTGGGGTTTCAGAGCAAAAAGTTTTGAAGTTGGCCTCCAGTGAGTAAGGAAAATGGAGATAACAAGATAACTGTGCGAGAGGAAACACATATGCACATGCACACACACACACACACACATATACAATCACAGATACACACACGCAGACCACACAAATACACACATAACTACATCCAAAATAATTCCTGAACACATTTTTAGATTTTTGTAAAAATAACTGCCTTTTTTGTTTGTTTGTTTGTGGGAATGTATCACTGTTATTTCAAGTTAAAATTTAAAGATATTTAAGAACAAACAATCACCGAAGGCTGCCATCATGGTGAGTTGGAG